CTGCGAAATGTAGATAGCGACGCCGACTAAGATGAAGATGAAGAAGAAGCAGCTGCAGTAGCAACAGCATTCCTTGTTGCTAACCCGCCTAGACCTTCTAGACCTTCTGCCTGAGAATGGACGCATATCAACTTGGGTTCTGTTCTCCGGTGAGGTTCTTAGTAATGGAGATGAATATAAAGACCATTTCATTTGTGCTTTGGAGCATTTTAAAAGGACTTATTGCCATTTTTTTATTTTGGATGGAGACATGATAAGGTTACTCGGATTTTTCACTTTGTTGATCACAACGTAGAACGAAGATTTGGTGGTGAGATTGGGTGATCGTGTTCTCGCTGTGAGTTTAGTATAGCATTTTCTATTATGGTTATGGGATCAAGAATCTAAAGAATAAAGGGCATGACCGTCCCATGCTATTTCTGTAAGTCTTTTTAAATATTTTTCTTATCATTTGTTAATATTTTTTTTATGTAAAAACGGAAAATCAGGATGCCGGATTGCCGTGTGTTTATCAAGCCGTCAATCAAGTGAGTCTGAATACGGAGAACTTAATGAACATCCTGACATATTAGGATTTTTTGAAAATTTGCAAAATCCTTTTTTTATTTGATAAATTTTTTTTTACCTTTTTTTTTGTTTTCTATTCATTAGTTTCAACCTAACATTTTTTTTACTATTCTTAATTGAATTTAATTTACCTTCCACTTTTATTTACTGCAAATTCATTTTATCATGCACTCTTTTTTTTTTTTGCTTTTTTCCCCCTCAACTAACTAATCAAACTTTAATCATAATTTTTTATTTAAAAGATATATTTGCTAATTTATGGTAATTTTAATTTTTTTTAAAAATTTCACTATAGTACATGTATCAGATTTTTTTTTATTATTTAGTAAAAATTTAATTTTAAATCTCATGTAAATGAAAATATTTTAATAAAATACATTATAAATGTGTCAAAAAATTTTATAATCCTATAATACCTTTTATGATGTAATAGTTAAAATATTAAAATTTTATCAATTAATATAATGAAATAAATTACTATAAAATTAAAAAATAATAATCAAAACCCTCTCTCTATTTTTCTCACTACATCATTTATCACTAGAGACAAACATATATATATATACTTATATTATAATTAAAGAAGAAACCATTAAAAGAAAATTTGTTAGGTGATACATTTATCTGTATTTCTTAATTAATTTTTTTTTTTACATGTGGCTTGATTTTCTTTTTGGTAATTTTTTTTCTTTTAAGTTCTTTTTAAAATGTGATTATTATTATTACAAGAGTTATTCTCCATCCATTAATATATTAGAACAATATATTTAAATTGTATGGTACATTTTGTTGGCTGCATATTTTTTTCCAAGAACACTTGGAACGTTTTTATTTTTTGTCTGGCCATTTCTTGCAACGTTTCTATTTCCTTTTTTTAAGTAATTAACAATAATTAATAAAAATATTTAAATTTGAATAGTGATTAAT